GGTGTCAGCAAAACACACTGGATACAGTCTGGACAGAAGCAGCTCAGCTCGGGGGAAGAGTGGGAAGACAAGGAATAACATCAAGAAGCTAGCCATTGATATATAGAGGTGGAAAGTGTTTGTTCGTATACTATACCCTGAGGCATGGTGAGAAAGGCAATGAGGATGATGATGATGATGATGATGATGATGATGATGATGATGATGATGATGATGAAAATGATGATGATGAACGTTCCCTCACAGGATTGAACTCATGGCTTCTGCGAGCCACTGCAAAACGCCTGACGACAACAACAAAAAAGGAAACATCCCAGGTTCGAAAACTAAACAACAACGTAAACAGAAATAGAGAAAACAATCTCTGATTGGAAAATACCATTTATTTGTTTTAAAAAAGTATTGTGATGACTGACGTGTTCTTAGGCATTTTGCTACCACAGAGTCGCACAGTTCTATTTGCTCAGTACTTCGTTTTGAGAAACTTGACACCAAAGGTTTTGAGTTTCACATCATGCCAAGCTTTACGAAAGCAATTCTTTGAATGTCTTGATAGCGGCTCCAAATAATCTTACGATTTGGATAGAGCAGATAGAACCTTCTGACCTCGTGGTCTTAATAACTAAAAACGACCAAAACATGTCAGATAGAACTCTGTAATTCACAGGTAACAAATTGTTTATATACAAAAATCAAAAATATAAAGTATATAGACAACATTTCAAAAAGTGGTCATTTTGATAAGGCACGGGAATGCTCGATAGATCTACAGGTAGCTAGGATTACAGAAAGAGAGAGAGAGAGAAAGAGAGAGAGAGAGAGAGAGAGAGACAGAGACAGAGACAGAGAGAGAGAGAGACAGAGAGAGAGAGAGAGAGAGGAGCTAGAGACATACAGAGACAGACAGACAGAAAGAGACAGACAGACAGACAGACAGACAGACAGACAGAGAGAGACAGAGAGACAGAGACAGAGACAGAGACAGAGACAGAGAGAACTAAGACAGACATACAGATAGACAGAATAGGACGTGAAAAACAGAAGGGTTATCTTTATAATGCTCACATTTCGTTTTGTATTTTGTAAGGGCGGTGCTAAAATCATCTGAAATGTTTATGTTTGGTAATAGTTTTATGGTGCTTGCAACTGTGTAAAGTCACATGAGCTCGCAGGAATTCTGTATAATATATACAGGGTAATTAAAAAAAGAATGAACCGATTTTACATTCATTATATCATGTATGTATACATATATTTACATATTTATATACAGTTAAACTTGCTGAAACAACCATCCGTAAAAAAAACACTCAGCCGTACAAAAAGGCTACATCCTATCTGACCCCTCTTCCCC